TTGGGATCGTCTTTGGTGGATGTTCTTCCTCTTTTGAAACGCTGGTACCACACGTAATATTGCGTACGGCTCAAACAATCCTACCCATAAGCATGTTGCAACATTTGAAAATTCTCCTGAAAAAGTTTTCCTAATTTGAAACAGAATTTCACACAAACACGTTGGTCTTCAAGATCCTTCATTGTTCAAAAGTGCACTAAACACACGTTCACTCTAGCACGTGTAGCTCGATGACTATTTTTTTTTTGTAAGGTGAAGCGCAGAAGCGTTTACAGCGCCCAACAGAGAAACATGCTAAGTTCATGCTTGCCTTATGTCTCATGAGTTAAGGGCGTAGAAGCCTAAAGAGTCAAGGGCGTAAAAGGCTGAAGGGTCAAGGGCGTAGAAGCCTGAAGAGTCAATGGTTATGCCTAAGCAAGTAATTGGAAGCTCCAACAATTTGTCCCTGAATACGAATTCGCAACTTTTGATTTACAGCAGGTACATACTTTACACATACTTTACTGCTAGGTGAACAGGGACCAAGGGGACTAGGAAGCGTGTCCAAACAACTTCCACCGGCCCGGGAATCGAACCCGTGACATCTTGCTTGCGAGGAAAGAGCGGTACCGCTCTACCACCAGCGCCCTGTTAGCTACTTGACGTGGCGTGATGCGGCTAGTGTTAGACTGAAGGTCAAGGTCACCGCTACACAGTGCTCCCGCGCCGGCTTGTTGGCGCGCTTTTTAAAAGGTTCGGTTTCTTTTTGGACAGACCTCGTATGTTGTATGAAATATCCTTCATTGGTTTTAGTCTTTTTGACTAATAGTCATCAATTTACACTAAGTTAAAACTTCACGTAGTTTTATAACATTATAAGAAACTGACGTCTCTAAGCATAATACTTTTACTGTACTGTAGTCATTTAACTTAATTGTTTATTGTAAACTAATGATGGAATAAGGAATTTAGGAAAGTTAGCAATTAAGATGATGTTTCTATACTTTGACTCTTTGTTTTTTGTTGTTTTGGAAGTATCACTATTTATCATTTACCACACTATGTAGTCTGTACGGTCTACGGACAAAACCCCAGTGGCCAAAACCCCAATGGACAAAACCCCAAACCATTATATGAAAAGTGGACAAAACCCGTCTCACATAAAAAATATAGAATAAAACACTTTTATGTTTGCAAACACACATTATATATACATTTTATTTTTCACACTCCACAATCCACAAAACCCTTTTAGATTTGTAGGGAATTGACACTTACAATATACAATATATGCTCCACTTATGAAAATATATCAGTTTATTTGAGTCGAATACATAAACCAACACCCTTCAGGTTTTGTCCGTTGGGGTTTTGTCATGGATTCATTACGTACACCCACTAAAAAATTATTTGGCACCCGTGTCATTTTGTATCACGCCGTAAGGGTGCCGAATAATTTTTAGTGGGTGTACATGATACTTGTACACACACACACATGTGTATACATGCACGATGCATACATGTACACCCACTAAAATTATTGGGCACCCTTACGGCGTGATACAATATGACACGAGTGCCAAATAATTTTTAGTGGGTGTACACGAGTAACAAAATTAGTGCTACTAATGTTAAAATGTTTTGTTACTTTTCATGTACTTATTACAAATACATATACAAAAATAATTGTACTGTTTACCAGGTACGGTAACGCCAAAACAAGGATGCGTGACCTTGGCATCAGTAGTGATAAGGGTGAAGCATAGAACACCCCCTCAACCAATGGGAGGCACTGAACAACGTGTAAGGAGACGGGGACCACCCTCATTGGCTGTTCAAAGTTATGACGTCAAAGTTCAACTTGCGTCGTAGGCACCACAATGAAACACAAGCAAACGCAGTAGTTGATTAACTGATTACGTCTCGGGCACCTCGCCTCGTTGATCATTGAATGATCAGGTGCGGATCCAGGAATATCAAAAGGGGGGATCCAAGAAGTTCTGGGTGCAGCGAGCCCACCTAGCTGGGGATTTTTTTTGGGGGGGGGGCGCTGTAAACCCCAGATTTTTTTTAAATCTTACCAATATCATGGGTATTTTGAAGCCCTGAGCACTTGATATTAGGAGATATTCTGAGGTCAATTGTAAATACTTTTTACTACACAAAAATGCTTTAGTACAATACTACATTAAAGAAAAAGTACTGGAATTTTCTGGCGAAAAGGGGGGTCCCCCCAATCCGCCCTTGTTGATGTGTATGTGGTGACGTCGTCTTGGGTACCTTTTATTGGCTGATGTATATAAATACCCTGTACATTACGGTAATAAAGGTTACTCTTCCGAAACGTTTTTCTTTGCTAAGTACAACAGATTTTATACGACACTGATAGAGGGTAAGATGCAGTACTAGAGAGATATTCAGTGACATTTTCATACACGTTCACGTTAGTTCAACATGTAAGTGTATATAAACAATGTAGGCAAACGCGAGTTGACAAACACTAAGTCGACTCACCCAGGGATAAGACAATTATCAAGCCTTTAATTTACATACTTAGGAACTGTGCGGGAGGGTTTGTTTATATACGTGTCAGTACAAGTCGTCTGGCAGGTATACTAAGAGCTGGGGAGTCGTCTGAGGAAGCATAAGTCTGTGTATGTTGTATACTAGAGACAAGGAGTCAATCATCTGAGGTATGTATATCAGAGCTGGTGTTCTTCTGGGGCGGTATTCTCTGTATGTGTTTGTGTCATTATTTTTAAGGACGGCCCTACTGTATTAAATACACACAAAAAAATAGTACAGACATCATTCCCCACCCCTTCCCTTTCTCTAAGCTGGATTTTGAGGGCGACGATGAGTTGAGGATGTGCGTGGGCGAGGTGGTTTTCCAGCCACCGCAGAGCAGTCAATTTGTTTAGCTTGATGTGATGCGTCGCCATGCATCATTTATTATTATTATCATCTTATCAGTACCAAATAACTTATGGTTCCAACGATTAAAGAAGAACAGCAAGCATTAGAAATATAAACTGTAAGTTAGGGAAGGTAAATAGGATTTCCCTTGACCTTAAAGTATTTCAAAATCAGATTACTTCTAAAAAAAATCATGACCAACAGTTGTTACTTAAACGTCAGTACACATAGGTTCTTTAATAATATAAGTTTTGTGTAGTATTATAATTTTGAGATTTCAATTCGTGTACTTTTTAATCAACCCACCATATGGAGAAAGCTTGAACATAGCAAAGGTTTCTCATCCCAGTAAGGATTAATATCGTAACAAAAGAGAACGCGTTTTCAATTGAATAACAAGCATATAGAAAAGGAGGTTGGGGCGACGTACCATAAAGGGAATATTTTGGGTCCTTTACCCTTCCTGCTATGTAAATATCATGCTCATTTAACGTTAAATGCAAACTATTAATGTAGCTGATGATAATGCTCTTTAAGTGTTAGATAGAGACCCCAAGAATATAACTTGTCATCTGAAGTGGAACCACGTAGAAAGTAGTTGACAAGATGTATTTCCCCCATAACTCGGGAAGACAAACACTGATATATATATAGAGATCTAAAAGAAATCCCGAGAGTAAGTTATTTTAATATAATGCGTGATAACAAACCTGTCTCAACCGCAGCGAGATACATAAAACTATTTTTTTAAATTTCCTTATCTGGAGAATTAATTGTAGAAAATGTAGCAATTTTTAATAAATTTCTTTTAGAAAAAACAAATGCCCGTCAATTGATGCTCGAATGGCCTTACTTAACTCTGTAGCTATCGTTTGTCCTAAAAGACTTCCTATTTACAGTACTAGTGTTTGAATGTGGGCAGCATATTTAAGTTGAACCAATATGAACTTGAATGCCCTATTTTACTGAATAAAGTATGTATGTATGTATGTATGTAACTCGACAACCAGTCGGGTTTTATTTGCATGTCAAACTGTAAATGATAATGTAAATACTTGAAACAAATATGTCAGTATAAGAGTAAAACGTCAGAACAAAACATCATCAGAGAATAAAGCAAGTATTTTTGTTTTCTCAGGAAATCCTGTCTGGGATGAGAGCGAGGAGTGGCGCCCCCACGTCGTGCCTACGCGTACTGATGTCACGAGGGAAAAACTTTCCCCCACCTTCATAAAAATGAATATTGATTCAGCATGTACAAAGACAATGTAGGTACATAAAGAATGTACAGTCTCGTTCAAGATTCTTCGAACACTGCTGGAGACAGCTGACAATGCAAGATCGTTTGTTTACTATATTACTAGTAAAAATTATGAATGAATGTAAAAGTGATCTGTGATTGGTTACTTAGTTCCCCGTTGCATAGTTAATGGTTGGGCTTTATTGTTTCGTATTATATTATAGTAATTATACTACGTACTATATTAAACAAATGGCCTTGAGTTGCCAGGTGTCTCCAGCAGTGTTCGAAGAATCTCGAACGAGCTGTATACATATTATGGTACAGGTTGACAACCCTTTATCCGAAATTCCAAAAACCGAAAAGCTCTGAAAACCGAAAGTTTTTTTGAGGAGCATTTTTTTTTTTATTAGCCCACCCGGGCACAGGTCACTCACCCACATCGGGGCCTGGGGGTGAAAATGTAATAGTAATAGTAACAATAATTATAATGATAATACAGTAATAATAATAATTATTCATAGTAAATAAAATTTTCAACAAAAAAAACACAAAAATAAAATAAGAATGATAAAAATAATAATAACAATAATACTGTAATAATAAAATAATAATAATAATAAAGAAATACAAGAATGAAAAAAAGATCAAAAGTGAGAAACACGACCTAGACCTATGAATTATTATTATTATTATTATTATTATTATTATTATATTTTAGCCCCAATGTGGGTCAGTGACCTGTGCCCGGGTGGGCTGATCCCTGTAAAAAAAAAAACTAACCATTCTGAAAACCGAAAAATTCCAAAAACCGAAATGCATCTGGTCCCAAGGTTTTCGGATAAGGGATTGTCAACCTGTAAAAGTATACAATGTTCATAGTGGTATACAAACAAAATAAGGACAGTTCAGGTATACGAACAATATACTGTACATAGATAGTGCAAGTATACAAACAATGTGCATAGTCAGGACAGGGTATACAAACAATGTACAGTAGTACAGTACATAAACAATGCAAGCCACGAACAATGGTAAACATTAACGGCCATATTATTAAACAACATCTTCCCTTGAAGAATATCTTCATATCGAAAGCAGTATTTTTAAATGCGAAGAACCTTTTAGTGCAGCGCACGAAAGAGTGTGGTGGCATGAAAACGAACTAATTTCACCTAACTTTGAAGAGGTGGCTATGAGCTACTTTTCGTCACCCTCTTCATAATTATTTTGTTAGTTTTATTGAATATTTCTTGTCAATACGATTAACGTACAAAGAAACACGTATTAGTAATTTTACAAATGTTTTTTTTACATTATTGGTTTTACGGCGCATATTATGACAGTCCAAAAGCTGTGTCCCGTCCTAATACGACTTTCGTAAAAGCTGTGCTGCCTGTCAATTGTTATTGCCAAAGGCTAGCTGCTGTAGTCATCCCATCTTACTAACGCTAGTATTAATCTGGTAAGCACATTTACGGTAATTTATTAAACTTTTTAGCAGTTTTATAAGTGAGTTTCTGTCAGGAAAATATAAACTAGTGACGTTCTTGCCTAGAAATATTCGAATGGATAGAGGCAAATTTCACTGGGAGAAAATCATCTCAAAACTTTATGTTGCATATATTAATAAGGTAAGTCCATTTAAGTTACTTAATGCCAATTTTTAGCAGTTTTATAAGCGAGTTTCTATCTGGAAAATATAAACGGGAGGTTTATGCCTAGAAATATCAAAATGGGTAGAGGCAAATTTCACTGGGAGGTCATTATCACAAGGATGGTATAATATTACATACAAAAACACCTTTGATACAGTGGATCATGATATAATATGTAAAATACTGCAGGCTCTAATTTTTCATCACCAATTACATTATTTCGTTTTGGTAAACTTCCATTTGGCTGAATTAGGTGCATAATAAAACAAGTTCATTGGAAGCTGGAGTTTGATTATTTAATGAAAATGTGCCTTAAGCATATATGATACAATATTTTGGCTAATATAGAGGACTTCACAGCAGCTTCCCCCGTCTCAGTAATAGTAAGTTCGCCCACGGCAAGTGATAATTTATGCTAGGTTAGGTTAACTTAACTTTACTTTAACTTATAAATACTGTACTCTTCTAACACCTTTTCCAACATTTGCCATAAATACGACCGTCTCACTATAAAACATATTGAAATTGGGGTGTTTATAAATATGTTTTCTCTGAAAACAAAAATTTTTAACCTAAGACAATATAATAAAGGCATACCAGCCCTTAAAGGCCATTTCCTATTATTTTATGCATTACTGTACATTATTATTTTTTTAAATTACATTGGAAACATGTGAAAATTTTTATTTCCCCGGTGTTTTTAACTAACAGGTTGAATTGGCAAAAGGATATTTTTAGAAAAATGAATCGGGGAAATCGGATCTGGAATTTTTGGAATAAGTTTGGAAACCAAGATGGACAAGCGGCACTGGCAAGGTTGGAGGAAATGCAGACAACGACACGGAAGACGACTCCGCAGAATTGTAGGTGACCGCATGAACCCATTCACAGCAATGAGCAATGCTGAATTTGTTGACCGATTTAGGCTAAGAAAGGAATCGGTTAACAGTATCATCCAAAAAAGTCAGGAACAACTTCCTGTTGCCAATGATAGGAGAGGTAAGCAAAGTTCCATATGACAGATGGTACAGGTTATTTCTACTGAACGTGTATGTTTTAAACCATGGCCTATCCGGGTCAATATAAATAACTAAAACTACCTAATTATTACCACGTTAATTAATGCTTACATTATTTCATGTTGCTACTGTACTTGCTTCTTCTTACACACCTCGACCTTCCACTTTTCCATATGGGTTAAGCCATTGAAAGAGGAAGATTGGAATATTTATTTAAGAAATTAGGAGAATGTGAGTCTGATGAGTTTGTCATTACTTCATTTTTCATTTGATGATTTCTTTCCAGGTTGTCCTGTTCCTCCAAACCTACAAGTTCTAATAGCAATACGTTGCATGGCGACTGGAAGCCACCAAATAGCAATTGGAGACTGCTATTATGTGTCTCAAACCTGTGTCAGTCTGTATCTTGCAAGTGTTTCGAGGGCAATAGCCAGCCTTAGTGAACAGTTTATAAAATTTCCTGCTGGCAATAATTTATTCAAAACAGTACAGGCCTTTTATAATATTGCTAGAATGCCAGGAGTTATAGGGTCCATAGATTGTACTCATGTAGCAATTTTAAGGCCAACATGCAACAACCCTGAAGTCTTTCAATGTAGGAAGGGGTTCTTTCCAATTAATGTTCAGGCTGTCTGTGGACCAGCCTTATTATTTTGTAATCTTGTTTCTCGTTGGCCTGGTAGTGTACATGACAGCAGGATTTTTGAAAATAGTATAATTTGTGCCACACTCGAAGAAGTCTTGATGCCTGGACATCTCCTTGGTGACAGTGGTTATCCCTGCAGGAAGTATTTGTTGACTCCAGTATTAAATCCTCGTGATCAACAGGAGGAGACCTACAACAGAAGTCACATAACAACAAGAAATACCATTCAAAGAGCTTTTGGGGTTCTTAAGAGGCGGTTTGCCTATTTAGGATCAACTATTAGGACAAAGCTCAACACCACCAAAGCTATAATTGTTTCATCATGTGTGCTCCACAATATAGCCATAATGACTAGGGTCTTATTACCAGAAGAGGTAGAAGAAGAAATGGATGATTTGCATATAAACCCAAATATAGGTCAAATAAATATGCAAGGCAGGATTAAAGGCAACAAGTCATCAGAGACCACTTTTGAATGTTGTTTATACAGTGAATTACTTTTAGTTGTCCATCCTTTTAACTGGACAAGGAGGGTGATTTATGTACATTAAGGTCTCAGCAGTCCAGAGGTATAGTAATGCCTCTATGTAATACTGTATAGAGCTACAGTACAAGGTTTTGGCTGTTTGCAATACCTGTAGTTACATTCATGATATAAAGACAGGAGTTGATTTTTTAATGTGTTATCTATATACTGTATATGTTAAGGTCCATATGGAGTTACTGTATTTATATACAGTTCTTTATTCTATTATGTTCTTATGTAATTTGCAATAAGTGTAAAAAACTCACAGTTCAATAGACTTTCAAAATGCATATACTAAAAATTCATACTTGTCAAAACTGATGGCATTTGTAATATTTTTAGGAAACAAATATTTTTCTCTGTAAATTTTATTTATTTTGTACATATCACACTTTTGTTAATTCAAACAATACTGTATTTATAATCAGGATTCTGCAACAATGTCAGAATGTAAATTAGTATATAGTGAATTAAAATAAAATAAAAAAGGAAATTTGACATTACAAAGTCATTACTAACCTATATATTCAGTCAATTACTGCTATACAGATCAAAAAGTTGGTAACCAACTGGGTGGGAATAAATATTAATGCAACATAAAATTAAGTTTCAAATGATACAATACCAAAGAATTTGTTGTTACCAAGACTCGCATGAAATTCGACTGAATATCATTCGCAATTTTTATTAAATCAGAACCACATTAATTAAAGCTATTTCCACCAATTCCTTGGTGTGAGCGGGCTTTGATTAATACAGTACTCTGACATTTTCTATTTTCACAATTTTCTGATGAAATATCCCATTAGTTTTGTTGTTTTAATAAATCATGGTACAGTAGTTAGGTAGCAAATCCCAGAAGTTATGTATTATGTACGCAAAGTTTAGTTGGGTATTAAAGAACTAATTTTAATTACTAAATGAAATTTTAGTTCGGTATTAAATACATATTTTTAATTATTAAATTAATTTCTATTTAGTTACTATAGTACGTACGGAAATAAATTTAAATTATAAATTAAATTATAGTTAGGTATTAAATACTTATTTTGAAATAAATTAAATTATAGTTAGGTAGTAAATACATACTTTTAAGTAAATTAAATTCGAGTTAGTTACTGTAGTACATACGGAAATAAGTTTAATTAAATTAAATTATAGTTAGGTTCTAATTGCTTAATTTAAAATACTAAATTAATTTATAGTTAGGTAGTAAATACATAATTTTAAGTACTAAATAAAATTGTAGGTAGGTATTAAATACATAATCTTAAGTACAGTACTAAAATAAATTATAATTAGGAACATAATAAAATATAATATGTAAAATAAATTAAAGTTAGGTAGTAACTAATTTAGTAAAAAAAATTTTGTAAATTAAAATAATGTATAGTTAGGTAGAAAATCACAATACAGCTGTAGTTATGCAGTGAATTACACCGTTTTTGTTGCATGTGAACTGATTGCATTATTAACCCTTAAACAGCGCCAAGGGTGACTCAGATAATACCCAATACAAAAGTAATTTTATACTATACTATACTGTACTGTACAGATTTTTTCCATCATTTCTAATTTCTTTTGTTCAACTTGAATCTTTATTTTGACAAGCTGAATCTGCAAATCTGAATGCAAGTTTTGATTATTTGCAAGTTGAATGTTGATCATTGTTTCTTCCAATTGTTTATCTAACAATTGCTGCCGTGTGCTCCAAAATAGTTTATTATTTTCTTCCTCTTCAATGGTTATATTTTTCCTGTTTGGTCGGTCATACCGTTTTTCATCAAATAATGACGTTTTCTTTTTATTTTTCTGGGAGGAGGTTGAGGGGCTAGGTTGTAAATTTGGGTCATCGCCTCTGCTGGAGGCACGCTCTGGTACAGGATTTGTGAAGCACAAATCTTGCCCTGGATTTGTAGAAGGCATGCTTTCAGCAAAGTAATTGTGGTCCTCATCAATGAAATTGATTGATGGGTACACATCCACTTCAGCTGTTCTACTGATCGCCGAGGTCCATATCCCTCAGCATTGAAACTTGTTGTAATGCGTAACCATGCTTGTTTCTTTAGTGCAACAAGCTTCCCACAAGTACTTTTATTTTTCAATATTCTCTCCTCTCCAATCAAATAAACTAAGAAATCCCCCTCTCTCTATGATATGGGACTTGCCCGGGAGACTTTGGAGGAAAACATATCCCTGACGAGAGCTGCTACAATACTAAATTTGGCGCCAACGAAGGTAAACAAACACACACAGGACCCATAATGCATCAGCGAGGGAGACAGTATTACCAGACCTAAAAAAATCATCCCGCACGAAGTGGAAGAGGTTCGAGCATTTAAAACTACCACTTGATGGAACAATACCTTCGAAAAGATTCTTCGTCGGAAGGGGTAGATGTTGTTTAATAATATGGCCCTAAGTCGGTTTGACCAAGGATAGCGCCCAAAAAGTCATGCGAATGTTATTTACACTACCTCATTTACAACTTAACTATTGGTGATTAGTGTCTGTACAGTACTAGACTACGCGTTTAATTTACAGTAATTGTGAAAGCGCAGTTATACATTGTAGCATCAACAATAATTGTGTGCAGCTCAAGGAGACTGATCAAAGTATAATAAATCCACAAAAATAGAGAAGAAAAAAATATAACTGTGACCATAATTTTTTGTTTAAAGAACATGTAGACGAGACTGACCCCTAGTTAAAAGTCTCAACGCAATTTACATATGATTTTACTGTATTAGTGCTGGCACAACCCTCCTGTCTGACAACTCACGGTAGCATAAAATTTTACATACAACTACCTATTGACAGGAACGATAAATAGTCATAAGTAGAAGTGGGTTTGCTCCGTGTGAAAATAATCAGTGTACAATACTTATACTGGAGTATACATAAGCAATCAGAACATTTTCATATATGTACAGTACTTAATTTGACCCATGTGAAGTATCATACATAGTTTAGTACCATTGGAAAGGACTTATCGCACTATCCAATTTTGGACAATTTAAGGACTAAAAATTTTAAGTAATTTCAACACAAAACGTTTTGAACCACAGAAGCTATCTGTCTTGAAGTTGCCAGTTTGCAATCAGTTATTTAAAAGTCAGTATTTGCATTTTGATTAAATTGGTACATAGAATATTAAATTTTATGATATACCCTATTGCCCTTTAATTAACTGAAATGTATCTTATGGGCACCACCCCATATCAACCTGCTGTGAAGAGAATAAAGTGAAATTGAAAGTTAAATTTGGCAAAGCCGAGGCTCTGCGTGGCTTGAGTAGAGGGGCGCTCTCGTGGCGGGTGAGTGAACAACAATATTTGCATCATCACCCTTCCTATACAGTTGTTTTATCTCGTGATATTTACTTGTTGATGACCTAGTGTAATTACAAACCTTATCATACGCTTAAAGACTTTAGTTGCAGAAACGCAGTAATACATTATAACATCCACAACACACCCCTCCCACGTTTAGCTATATCGACACAGTCCTTTAGATTTATATGTAACTAGCAGAATCGTGCTCATCAGCTAGGCCACGGTAGGACGCCACCCTCCGGGAGGCTCCACATTGTCTCACTATTCATTCCCCAAAACTTCTTCTTCCATCAATAGTTCATTAACGGTGTATGTAAGTTCCACCATGTTTTTCACTACAACGGTACAGCAAAGTATATTTTTTTAGCATTAAACTGTTATTATTTTATTGTCTAATCATCACTACATATAACACCACCCATCATCACTACATATAACATCATCCATCATCACTACATATAACACCATCCATCATCACTACATATAACACCACCCATCATCACTACATATAACACCACCCATCATTACTACATATAATATCCATCATCACTACATATAACATCATCCATCATCACTACATATAACACCATCATCATCACTACATATAACACCATCCATCATCACTACATATAACACCACCCATCATCACTCGAGTTAACAACATCCATCATCACTACATATAACATCAGTGTGAAATTTTTACTTTAAATACAGCTTCTGCAATAATTTTCTAAGCATAGTTATCGAAAATAGTTACCTTAACTTTGAATGTCCACCAAGACTGAACTCCTGTTAAACTATCTAGTTCTAATCAAGGTCTAAAGATTTAAATCTCTATACCTTGGTTCTAATAAAATATACTTTTCTTGGTTACAAAATTTATGCTTCATACTATCCTAAGAATGACCATTATCTCTAGACTGCCCCAACTACAGGCTTCGTGAATATAGAGTACTAGGTTAACAATCCCTTATCCGAAATCCTTGGGGCCAGAGGCATTTCGGATTTCGGAATTTTCGGTTTTCAGAATTTTTGTTATTTTTTTTGTATTAGCCCATCCGAGCACAAGTCACTGACCCACATTGGGGCCTGGGGGGCAAAAATATTATAATAATAATAATAATAATAATAATAATAATAATAATAATAATAATAATAATAATAATAATAATAATAATAATAATAATACCTGTAATAATAATAATTCATAGGTCTAGGTCGTGTTTCTCACTTTTTATCATTTTTCATTCTTGTATTTCTTTATTATTATTATTAGTATTATTAGTATTAATTTATTAATACAGTATTATTATTATTATTATTGTTGTCATTATTATTTTATTTTGGTGTATTTTTTATTAAAATTTTTATTTACTATGAATAATTATTATTATAATTATAATTATTATAATTATTATTATTACTATTACATTTTCGCCCCCCAGGCCCCGATGTGGGTCAGTGATTTATGCCTGTGTGGGCTAATCCCTGTTTAAAAAAAAAATAAAAATAAAAATGCTCCACAAATTTTTTTCGGTTTTTAGAGCTTTTCGGTTTTCGGATAAAGGGTTGTCAACCTGTAATGATTTATTGCTTAAAGTGTAAATAATTTTGGCTGCAAAGTATGAAAAATTTCCTCAAATATTGTATACACACAAGTTCAAGAACTGCTGTATACGGCATATCGTATAAACTATTCTAACTCAGTTGAAATTGAAATACTTTATTGACAATAAAACTATTACATCAAAAGGACAGGATAGTATACTACTCCCACCCTCACCTTTGCCATCCCCATCTGTGGTTTACAAAAAGTTATAAATGTTAATACAATAATTATTTTTACATCATTGAAATAGTTCATTTTGGCATGAACACTGTTGTAGGGGTTCGTGGTATAATGTTGTCTAGCACTCAGCATGGATGGAAACTCTAAGGTGGTTTTCTTGTATAATATAAGTTATATGATAGACAGTCTGGTGCTGGAGGTGCCGTGTGGTGAGGAGCTGCTCAGTAGAGACATTCGGTGAGTAGCGTGTTGAAGGAGGTAGATGTGCAGGAGCTTCGTTAGAGAAGATGTTGCCTGTTGCTGGCCTCCTGGTTGAATGAATGCTGACAGCGTGGAGCTTGCTGGAGGTGTTGCTTGTTCATGGAGAGAGACCAGAATGAAAGAGCTGGTTGGTGAGGAAGCTCAGAGAAGGACAGCTGGTGGGTCGCCATGCTCGCTGGCGGGAGCGAGGACCGCCAGTCAGGCGAGGAGAAGCGAGGGCAGCCAGGCAGCGGCAGAGGAGGAGGTGTTGCTTGTTCAAGAAGAATGGTCAGAATCAATGGAGAGACAGAGCTTATATACCCAGCAGCCGCTATGAGTCATGTTGGGAAAACCCGAGAAGTCGCCGGTGACTAGTTTCGTTGCTAAGTTACGGTAACATCTGGTTGGTTGATAGGGAAGGCGGTAGCAGGTGGTGGCTGTGGCTACGCAGTTGTAGGGGAGACGTCCACTACACTGTACTACATAAAGAACAGATAATGTAACCCGACACAAAATTAAATGT